TCATAAGGCATTTGGAATATTGCGGCCAAGCCAAAGGCAGTTAACTGAAGCCCAGACCTACATGCTGGATACTTTATCACGGACCAGAGATTCGGAGAAATAGGCATCAAGGAGTTCTGTCCTCAAGACACCAAATATGCTATGGGCCAAGAATGAAAATGCTTGTTGGTCAGCATAGCGGGAGTAGTGACGACAGCGGGTATGCAGGAAGCTCTAGTCAGACCCCAAAAAGGAACTGGAGGTTCAGAAATTGCTCCCCCTTGATGTTCCCTCGTGATAGGACTCACCAATTTGGGAAGTTAAAAGACCATGAGAGTACTTGGTGAAATTTCAGAGAAAACGCGAAGTGTTTTTAGTTTGAGCAAGGATGGACTTGTTTGCAAACATCTGAAGCCATGGCACTAAACAGGGCACACCTAAAACCCAGTGATAATCGACCCATGACTAAGTAGCCCCTTATATGGTTGAGGAGACATGGGGTGCTTCTCTGAGAAGGACCAGGGCAAGCTAAAATGAAAACGGCCGAAGATGACTTCAGATAAAGCCAGAGAGGGCAAAACCACAAAAGGCTGTTCATCTCCTTAAGATACTGTCAAAATTGGAGACCGAGTGGGCCAGGAAAGCCATCATTACATGACTTGCCTCACACCGCCGGTCTTATGATGACCACACAGAGGCAAGTGAAGGTGCCCGTCACATACTGATCCCTCAGCTCCTTCCCTCCACCAAGAGGTGCCCTGAGATCCACACACAGATCCCCAGAGGCCCTGCAAGCCAGTAGGAATAGAGCACCTGGATGGCGCACCAGGGTATTACTGTAACCCTGCGATGAGCGTCCCCTGTCCACGTAACTCCAAGGACTTATAGTAATATATACGTAGGACTCAAAGAACACCACTAAAAACTAGATCTCACGGCTAGCCAGCATGAATAAATACACTAAAACCACAGGACAGTTCATAGCCACAAATGTTTATTGAGTGCCTATATGCAAGAAAGAAGGTATGGTCCCCACTCTCATGGAGCTTACAATTTCATCACTCCAGTATCTGACTAGATTAAAAAACAACTGCAACAAGCACTTGTCTTTTGTCTAAGCATCAGCAGCACTATATGAAAAAATTTTTCACATTATTGGTCACTGTTACAGTGAAATTGTTAAATGGGAGTAAAATAATCATCTCTGAAATCTGTAGTCATAGTGATGATGTGGTATATAATGTCCAGCAAATGCACATTTATGGCTTGATTTCTCATATCTGAGGGGTCTGTTGAAATAAAGCACAAATCAGACAGAAAAGGCTTAGTAACACAGGTCCTAAGAATACCGGTGTAGTTTAATATCAAACTGCCACAGAGCTCTTAGCAGGGCAGGAAATTAATTTCCAGCAAAATTTGTGCAGTACGCTCGGTTTAATCAGACCTGTAAATCTCCTAACCATACGTGATCACTCATGACAGGTAAACATGATTTACCTTTATGATTCCTAAAAGGCTCTGGGTGTGCATTTTTTTAAAGCTTCTTAAAGACTCACAGCACAAATGGCACGTTAAAATTTAGTGAAAACTTTTGAGATAGCTAAAAATTAAAGTGACAGAAGTGTCTAATTTTACAACATATACAGGTACAGGGTTCAGAATTCAAACGGCATTCAGCAAAGCACCTGGCTTTTCTGGGTTGAAAAGGGGAGCACTTTCTGGCTGGTTAGCAAACTCTGAATCATAGTCTCCATGTACATCTAACACTCAGGGGCAGGCACTTCCTTCACATGGTTGTTTCTTGGGCCATCGCCTTGCGATGTCTGCTCATGGAACATTTGAAGGAGCAATTATTTTGATTACACTAGCAATGACTTTTGGGAAAATAGCCTATATCTCAACCCCCAAATCACCAATTTTATTAAGATCAAAGTGCCCTCTGAATTTATACTGAATAGCTTATCAATTTTATTTTTAGTCATTAAAAAAAATCCAACAAGGACGCTCATTTAAACTCCAAGAAAGCTCATGTTTTTTGCAAAGGGTGGAAAGAACATCTTAGATCACCTAACAGAAATGTCAACCCAAGGCAATTTTTAGGTCAGTTGCTTGGGACACAATCTACTTTTCTATTCTAAAAAGTATGCTACCTCAAAAGCCTACTTAACTCACAATGAATCTGAAATGTACTATTTATTGAGCACTTACTAATCACCAGGCACTTTACATAATCTCCCTTAATGAAAGTTAAGGGAGACAAACTTTCATTGAAATGAACCTATCATTTCATCTTATCATTTACAGGATAAGACCCAGGTCTGACTGGCTCCAAGTCCCTCCTTTCATCCCTTGCCCAGCTGTGCACAGCCCTAGTGCCGCCTGTGCTGTAGCAACAACTGCTGTTGCTTCAGTTGGAAAGGTCCTTTTCCACACCTCCGGAGTTGCTCCTGCAAACAGAGGCTTTGAGAGGGAATGGAGGGGGGCAGATCTGGGCATTAGGAGAAAGTTCACTTTCTATTTGTTTAAAAAGGCACTTCCCAGAACTGGAAGATTCACTTAGGTTTTTGTACTAACTGCAGCACTGCTGCAGCCAACAATAAAAATAGTTTACCTCCCTGGGATAATAGTTGCTATTAAGATTTCCACCTTTCCTAATTTAGGTTGTTTTTCAGTTGATTGTTCGTAAGATAAGCATTACCAAAGGGAAATATAGCTGAAAGAGTCTCCCTCTTCACAGCTATGAAGAAAAAATTTAAAAAATTTTTAAAGTAAGTGACTGATAGTTCCAATCTATTACACACTTCAAATATCAAAGCATATGCTTACTAAGAGAAAGGCGCAGAAGATGTTTTGATGGAGCTTAACACCTTTTTTTGGAATAAGCCAATATAGGATACTAAGAAGATAACTCATTGGCAAGATAAAACTATCATCTCCTCTGAAATGGCAACTTCTTTATTCTTAAGAATGTAGTAGACTATGACATAGTATGATAATAGGGAACAAGGAAACATCCTAACCATTTTCAAGTTAGTTTTTAATATATCTAAGAACATATTAAAGAAAGGAATATCACCAGTAGAATCAATCCCCTTTGTAGGTCTTGACACCAGCTGTACTGGAGCTTGATTAAAATGAATTTTTAAGTTTTTTTTAAAGGCTAAAAAAAAAACGTTAAGAATAGCAAGGCGTTGTGGTTTGTGCCTGTAATCCCAGCACTTTGGGAGGCCGAGGTGGGAGGATTGCTAAAGGCCAGGAGTTCAAGACCAGCCTGGGCAACATAGCAAGATCCTGTCTCTACAAAAATAAAAAAATTAGCTGGCGTGATGGTGAGCGCCTGTAGTCTTAGCTAATCAGGGGGCTGAGGCAGGGGGAACACTTGAGCCCAGGAATTGGAGGCTGCAGTGAGCTATGATCACGTCACTGCAATCCAGCCTGGGCTACAGAGCAAGACCCTGTCTCCAAAAAAAAAAAAAAAATCAAGAATAAAAGGCACTTGATTCTGTTGGTAAATAATTTTGATTAGCCTGAAGTCTTCAACTAAGAAGTTGGGAGCAGAGGTTCAACAGGCACTGTCAGGCGGGTCCCATCTTTGCTGAGAGGGGAGCAGGGCTATGGGCCCCAGGCCTGGAGACCAGCCAAGTGAGCTTGGGTGAAGGGTGCCCAAAGATCATTTGAGATTCTGCTTGAAAGCATACATACACCCTAATAGAAAAGCTGGGATGGCTTGGTTCATTGTAACTACATATTAAGAGCCACATCAGGAGAAAAAGCTCAAAAGCAAACCAAAATGTAAAACCTGAGCATGTTCAGGGGGAATCAACTCAGAAAGTTTGGATGAGCCTGTTTATCAACACGTGTCCAGCAGGAATATGTGGGGCACTGGGTTCTGACCAGCCAGCAAAAGTGGGTGGATAAATAGCCGGCACTAAACCAGCAATCCCACCAACACAAACCTCCTGTGCTCCTGCATCACAAGCAGAGCCTGCTGTCCTCGCACTACTTCCGAGTGCCAGTAGGTACCGTGTAGGCAGGGGCTGGAGCCCTCTGCAAGGTCAAGGCAGGCAGCAGATTCTATCCACATGCATTCCCTGTCCATGAACAAGTGGAGTAAACTGCTCTGATCTAAAGCTATGTTCTTACAGCACCTACTGTGGAAATTATTTTCCTTTTTGGCAGGGGTGGACAAGGGTGAAAACTTCCAGATGACAATTGTGATAGCTGAAGACATGGACACTAAGGAAACCAGGGCTACTCTCTTAAGCCCTCACTGGGTGGTGGCTAATATTGACCCAGGGCTTATCTATCCATTTACTGTCCAGGGTACAGCACAAGTTACATGCAGAATTATGGGCAGAGAGCTACAGCTCTCTAATTGTTTAACTTTTTCAGAAAGTACTGCATATAAGACAAAATTAGAGAATTACATCCCTCTCATTTTTTTCTCTCCTTACAAAGTTTAAGGAAAACAAAATGGGTTATATTCATATAGTTTTCAAAACTTTCCAATAGTCCATTATTACTATTCTGATATTTACGCCAAAACGTGTTTCAAATAGGAATTGTATTATTTTTTTAAAACCTCGACACAACTGAAATCCAAGGTATGCTATAATTGTTTTTGTATTCAGCATGTACTGGGCTAGCATTATGGAAGCTGTGCAGTTTTATTTTTAAAAAATGAATCATATTTACAATGTAGAACAAGTTTATAAAATTGGTGTGCAAAGTTAATCTTAAAAGGATAACACTATTTGTTTAGAAACAAGCTGCCTCCTGTTTACATTTCCTTACTCTTGATATAAATTGGAGACATATACTATTTTAAAATAAGACTTTTTAAATAGTAAAATATACAAGAGATTCCTGAGCATAACAAAAATATCTTGAAAATATGTGGCCATTTGAAGTATAAAATAGCAAGTGTAAGAATAGCATGATTGTAAAACTACTGTTTGAAGGCTTATAAACAGTACAAAATAGTTTGCCTTTTCTGAGTGCATAATTATACATTAGTGCAAACAAAAATGTCTCAAAATTTAATGGCTACAAATCTCAAAGATTTGCAGAGGTGCGCAAAACATGAAATTTCTTTAGTGTCATGCGAACGGAACCCAGTTCTCGATTAATCCTTTCCAAACGATCTTCCAAGGCTTCCTAGGTGAAAACAATGGAAAAAGTTTAATTAGAATTCTCTATCAAGTTCCCTGGTTCTATAATTACCAGTAAATTGACTTTCCTTTTAGCAAAAGAGCAAGTGTAAACATTAAAATTACAGATAGTTACTTTGCTTTCTACATAAATCATCTTATCATTTATTTCTTTTAAACTGAACAGAATGAATCAGCTTTTCGACCATTCAAGATAACTGCTGTACTTTAAAATACTCTCAATATATTTGGCACATTGAGTATATGGAAATTCTAGCAAGAGCAATACAGCCAACTGGAAGGAGATAATTCCTTGGCTCTGTTGAATTAAGAACAGTACAAGAGCAACCTAGGAGATGCTTCAAACATTTCGCAAGAAATGGACACATCTGATCAGTGCCGTATCCCACATATACATAGATCAAGTGACTCTCTTCGGAACAAAATTTCTAAGCTAAAGAAAAAAAACACTAGAGGATACTTTTCAAAAAAACAACAGATTTCACAATGAATATAACAACATCTATTTTAAAATAAATACTATTACTGTTAGTAGTACCTAGAATAGTAGTAGTACCTAGAATATATATCAGGTAGTACCTAGAATAGTAGTAGTACCTAGAATATATATCACTTTAGATATTTTATTGAGTATTAACTCCAATGAAGTCCTGAAATAAAACTTAAATTTATTTTCCTTTTTTTGAGACAGGGTCTTGCTCTGTTGCCTGGGCTAGAGTACAGTGGTGTCATCATAGCTCACTGCAACCTCAAACTCCTGAGCTCAAGAGATCCTCCTGGCTCAGCCTCC